GAGGTCCCCGGCCTCTTCCAAAAGTTATTTTTGGCAATAAAAGTTCAATGCTTTCCAAAAAAAAAAAAAAAAAAAAAAAAAAAATTTGAGTGGTCGCTCTGTTGTTTGACGGAAAAGACGGGGGAAGGAGGGGAGAGGGGGGGGGAGAGAGGGAATCATAAAATCGAGAAAGAAAATATGCAGCGACTGTAGACAAAATCGCCCCAAACTACCTTACTCCAGAAGGCAGGGTGGTGGTTCCGGGTGGGTCTAGTTGAACTACTCACAATCGGACAAGATTTTGAACGCATCTAAATATCTTTCGTGTCCACATGCATTCAAAGTCTTGGCGGATGGCAAGTGCTGCAGCTACGCCCAAAGTGAGAGTTTTCGAGTCTGAGTACATTATGAGAATAGGCCCACCGCACAAGAAACAGCGAATACTTCTTGCTTACAAGCTCCACCCGTAGATTCATTCCATCAACGGCCAGACTTTTTTTTTCTTTTTTTTTTTTTAAACGCACCCCCTGCAATGCTAGTGGTGTTGTTATAGCAGACACCACTAGCACCCGGGGGAGGGGCTCCATCTATTGGTGGGGAGCATCACCTGCTGGAAAACGGGTCCAGCGTGGCAGCGTCCCTTTACAGAATGAAATACAGAATGAATACAGACTGGATCAAGAGAGGATGACTGTGAAACCTGCCAAGTTTGGACGGAATGCACTTCTTGTGCGTGCAAATAAAGACTCCGAGGCCTTATGACGCGGACGTCACGGCCTTTCAAGCGACCGTGGACCAGGATGAAAGAACACAAAAAAAAAAAAAAAAAAACTTTCCGGGCCATTCACGTTCGAAAGAACAGAAGTGCCCAAGACCGGCCACGTGGATGATGGTCGAGCACCGGCTGCCCCCATCCCCGTGTGGCACAAGGACCCACTTGCACGCAGCCAAAAGGCACCTGAAAGAGGTAAAGAGACGGAGGAGGAAACCAAACCTCACTTGTAGGACAGATAAAGCTTTCGACACTACCAACAGATATGGAGTAATCAAATACAGTCAAGAGTAAAAGAAACGGAACCACAACAGAGGGCCATATATATATATATATATATATCTGTTTGTGACGATATATATATATATATAACATCAACTACTGCCCGACTACTGATACCCTGCGGTGGGCAAAAAATCACTGCCCTCAAGGCACCTGTGACGAAAATCACAGCAGACTACCACTCACCCACACCAGATGGAAAACTCTACAGACTGTAGGTTCACACCCCATCGCAAGGCAGCAAACCACCCACGAAATAATTAAAGGTCTGACACAGCAAAAAAATACACTCCAACGCCGCTGGCAATATATATATAATATATATATGTATATATTTTTATATATATCAGCTGTCGGGCAGTCGTTGATGCTTAACCACAGCCAGGGTTACGGTGGATTATCACTTACGGTGTAATCAGTTAGGGGATTCGGCAGACTGTTGAGGGTTCAGCCTCCTGACGAGTAGGGAGGTGAAACTCCGACGAAACAGTTTGTCACAGCCTCTTGTTTTTGTCCGCTTCTCCCTCTATGCCTACGGTTTACGGGGCAGCTCTGTCTTACGATCTCTCTCTCTCTCTCTCTCTAAATATATATATATATATATATATATATATAAATATATATATATATATTTCGTATATATATATCGTCAAATAGAACTGCCCGGTATGTATATATATATAAATATATATATATATATATATAAGTGTGGAGTACCTGTATATATATATAAATATTTATATATATATATATATATATATATATAAGTGTGGAGTACCTGTTCTCATCAGTTTAATACACGATCCGTGACAAACTGACCAATTCTGACTTGGCCTATGGCGAGTAGTACAACTACGCCCGTAGGTTGTTCACGAAGTTATACAAAAAGTAATCCAAAAGAAGAAAGCAAAAGAAGCACATTGTGCCGTTGTGGCAGTGGTTGGACAACTCCCCCTACGCGAAGGACGGCGAGAGTTGCMATTACTCACCAGGAGGGCTCAAGTTGTAAAGGATCTGCGGTCCGTTGAGTCCAGCATCGCTCAGCTGCTTCAAAACTTCTGGAGCCGCGCCACCCGCCATGATTGATCGAACAGATGGATGAGCACGAGCACACTCTTTCGAGTCCTCTGTCCTGCCGGGCGAATTCGAGCGCGAGCACAAGGTTTCCGTAAGAGAACAAGGAATGCATCAGAGACTCAGTTTGTTAGGTCACAGTAGCGAGCACAATCCTTCCGCACACTGTCAGCCAAACTGGAAACAAGCAGCACATGCACAAGGTTACCCCCTTAACATTCTCTCCATTTCCAACACTGTACCGAAGTGCTCACATCGGACCATCTGAGCCAATACTCGCACTAGGACCGTTTTTTGACGGCATCTAACTAATCATGAAGTGGTGGGAGGCAACATGCCGGACATTCATTCTTAGTGAGTATTGCCCTTCGAGAGGCTTGGAAAGGACCGGAAACCTACTTCGAATGCTACATACATCCCAGACTGGCTATTGTCGAACCAGGACAAAATATTGGATGAATACGAGGCATGACAAGGAAGGGGGCAAGGGACAAGACAACAACAAAAGCCGCGGGACCAGGGACCAGACACCATCGACAGAGACAAATAAAACAAGACTACGTAGTACCAGCAGGCAATTGCGTTAGATGATGCGCGCAGACACGTCTACGGTCATACTCAGGGAATACTCACAGCAGGACTTTTTGTACTAAGCTCTCGATGAGATTGTAGTCAGATTCATCCGGCTGTTGTGTGTTGATTGCAGTCAGGTGCATTTAAAAAAGTCCCGGTGTGAGCATGCCCTCATTCAACGAAAACCTTAACACTCACGGCACACTGACATTACTGTTGAGCACTTTCGTCAATACATCCCACGGAAAAGCAGTGCCACGCTCGGTAATGAAAGTCTTGAGGCCCTCGTCCCGCCAACACGGATTCCTCGCTTAACTTTTCTGACCGTAGACTGCGAAGATCGATGACCGCAACCCAACGTAGAATCCTATCCAGGTAAGTAGGACTTCCGGTCTGTACGCAACACGGTGAGACAAGTGAGAGAGACAGAACGACGCCATACCAGCAAGAGGTAAGGCGCTGCTGTATTCCAAGCTGCAGGGCGTGGATTGACATCGTGTGAGATCTTTTTCGGAGAAAAAAGCGACGAGGAGCATCATGAACCAGCTCAAGCGAAGCGCACACACTGACACAAGGACACTTCGAACGGGATCTGTTTGCAACTACGACCAGATCCACTCATGGGAGGCCTGCTGCGACTTGCCGAAACGGTTGTGACCTTGGCTCATCGGCCGCGGACGGAAAAGAGAATCAGGATGGAACAAAAACACAACAATCATTCACCCGCAAAGAGAATATTCCTATTTCATTGCCCAGATCAAGATGCCGGAGCGAGCAAAGAGACGACTCCACTGCTTAGCTGACATTGCGCGAGGAGCACGGCTCACCTGATTCAAGACAGTCCGATGGCCAAGTTCAACCCAGTGGCTCCCGCACGAACCGCCTGCCCACTATCACTCGCTGCTAGCAACAGGGATATGGAGGTCCCATCCAGTACAGTGGCGAGAAGAGGGAGCAATGAACTTGCAACCTGCAGCTGTGGCCGACTGCTTCGTGCGATCAGTTCGCCTCTTAAATATCGAAGTGGTCGTGTGATTCGCACCCTTTGCCGCCCATATGCTCATTGCTGTCCACCACCAGCGGGCGCTGCACTGGCGAGAGAGAGATGGGCAGACCGTACACTGAGATGCGTAGGCGGGAAGCAACAGATGCCCAAAAAGATGCTGTGACAATCATTGATGCTCATCGGACAATTCGGCCGAACTCGGTACCGGTCGATCTCCTGCCGACCTGGACAGCGGAGACTCACGGGTGACCTGACGGAATTTTTTATTTTTTTATTTTTTTCTGGAAAAGCAAGGACGCTGGGTTTATAATCCATTGTTGTTATAAAAAAAAAAATTAAAAAAATTAAACGCTGGGCCGAACATCGAGGCCGGGAATCCTCACAAACAACCAGGACTGTCACGGCGAATCCCGCTACAACGCTGGGCCTCGCTGCAGATGCACGAAAGACAAAAAAGATGGCAATTCATCTTTCAAGATGGCAATGCATCTTTCCATGTTGTAGCGGTGTATTCATTCTGATATTGCACATTTGGAGAGTAGTGCGCCGAGGCACGCTGATCGGGCAAGTGCAACGTACGCGTACGCCCTTCATTTCACGTGAATGATCCGACGAAGTTGTGGAACGAACTCGAATCTCGCTGCATCTAATGATTTTTTTTTTTTTTTTTTTTTTTTAAAGCTATGTTCTTCTCTCAATAATGATGATGGATGGTCTCTTTGGTCTTCCTCCAACCAACCATGGCCCTCGCTACACTACTCTCCACATGCGCTAAAGACAAAAAAATTGGCGACGTATGTTTCCATTTTCTAGCTGTCTCGTTTTGCACCTTTGGGGAGTGTGGGAGCGAGGGCCCATCTCTGTTCAGGAAACAGGTAGCGGAGGTGCCCAGAGGTGGAAGGCTGCAATTAACGAACGGACAGCAACATCCGCCGCTATGGCCAATTGGCCGATGAATCTTCCTCTACAACATGGAAGGATACACCGCAATGATTTTTGTCTATTGTGAAAGTCGACAGTGTTGGAGCAAGGCCCAATTTAGAGGGCGAGAGCTCTCGCTCACCATTAGTCGAGAAAACATGTGTTCACGGGGAATCCGCCCTTCAAGGAGGAACCCGGAAGACGGGTCAGGCATTACCATCAATCGGAACCAAGCGCATGGCGGGGAGGTACCAGCGTTTGTTACCAGTATCTACGCTGTCACTTACTGAGGCTCGTCAGCTAGACGACCGGCAGCTCTGGAAGGAGGACTTGTATCTGGACAAGAATGAAGACCGGCAGCAATGGAATTTGGAGGCAGCAACCCTAAAGTTCAGAACAAGGCCTATTTGAGGCTGACGGCCCGCAGAGGGATAATCGGTAGAAGGCGCCCACGCCAAAACTTTTCGGTTTTGGCCACCCGAAGCTCAGCCGTTTGGTACTACCAGTCCACGCGTCCTTTCCAGGGGCCCTACCAGATCATGAATCTGGCGCATGAACTGCACCACATTCATTTTCATGTAGAAGAGGGCGGCGGTGGTAACGCCGAAGTATCGAATGAGGCCCGCGTACGCGATTTTGAAAAAGAAGGGCACTACCGGTTCATGAATATGGCGCAGAAAAAGCGCCAAATTCTTGAACCGGTAAAAACAGGCCCACGGAATGTGGCCACGGCGCGAAGGCGCCTTTCACCCAGGGGAAAGTTGTTTGGGCCGGTAGTGCCAAGCGGCCGAGTTTCGGACGCCCAAAACCGGAAAGGTTTTGGAGTGGGCTCTTTCTATCAATTATCCCGGCCGCAGAGGCTCTCTAGGCCTTCGTTTTCATCACTGGAGCAGGATCCGATAAGCAGCAGCTGCACCCGGAAGAGGTTCAGGCCGGTAGCGTCATTTCGGGGAAGGCTAATTCTAGCAGGGCTATTTTCGCCCTTGCCCCTGTCCTCAAGGACTCGGCGGCGCTTGAGAATTTCTTGCCCCGGCAGTTCTCGAGAGTGGCTTTTGTCTTTTGGTGGATTTTCACGTTCGCGTTCAGTGGCGCTCCGTTCCTGGTACCTGCACTGCAGGACGAACGATTGTGTCAGCAGCGTCCGATCTCTCCAGATCTGGTAATTTTTTCAGGCACCTTTGCCTGATAGGTAAGTTTACGTTGCCCTGTTTCCTACCATAGCTGAGCAGCTATTACAGGTAACCTTTCTTCTGTCTCCCCAGCAGTTTCCTACTTTAGTAAATCTAGGAATTCTCTTCCCCTCGAAAAATCATCTGGATTGAATCTTTATCATTATATCTCTTATTGTACCCTAACTACGAAGATCGTTGTGTCAGCTTGACCCGAACTGTTCTTTTCACTCACCTTTACCTGCCGAGAACCTCCGCCAGGTCTCTCCCTTTAGCGACTCGGTAATCCTTACCCGTCTTTCCGGAAAGATTACGCAGCCTTTCCATTCTCGACGTTACACCCTGTCTCTGTCCAGCCGACTCGACCCTTCGAAACTCTCAGCTCGCTATCGGATAGTGACCTTACAGTAGCTTTCCTCTCCGACCTCGTCAACCAGACCGTGTCGAACCCCACTTTTTTGCACCCTCGAAGAGAAGCCTCCTCTCTTTTGACCTGAGCTCGCATCGTGTCATCCACAAGCTTCACCACTATAGGAGACTATCAGCACTGTCAGCACTCAGCAGTGTCAGGAACCTCCCTCTAACCTTCAAATCCCGTCCTCTGAGAAGAATCATCCCTGGGCTCTGTTCTCTGAAAATGCACTGACATATGGCTTCCAGCAGCTCGTGGGGCAACTTCCCAGAGCTCATGGAAAGATACTACAGCCTACGAATCCCACCCGGCGGCGGCCAAGCGCGGCGAAGTCCGCGGCCGCGGCCAGGTCCGCGACCCCGCGGACGTGTCCGCGCGGCCGCGCGGCTTTGAAGCCACATGGCGGCCAGTGGGGAGGGGGGTTGGGGATTCGGGAAGCGGCATGGGGCAGCGCAATCCCAGCCCCACCCCCTCGAACAAAAAAATATAAAAAAAAACTATTTTTTGGTTCGGGGGATTTGGCTGTGAGTGCGAATAATTATAAAAAAAAACAAAACAATGTATTTTATTTTTTTCAGTGATTGATTGATTAATTGATTGATTAATTGATTGATTGATTGATTGATTGATTGATTGATTGATTGATTGATTGATTGATTGATTGATTGATTGATCGATTGGTGGGGGCGGGGTCGCCCCACCCCGCCTTTGATTGATTGATACATTTGATTTTGCTTTTTTTTTTTTTGTTGATTGATTGATTGATTGATTGATTGATTGGTGGGGGCGCGGTCGCCCCCCCACACCCAACAGGCCCAGACACACACACACACACGAAGTATTGTATATTTCCATATTCTAGAGGAAGATTCATTCGATTTTGCTTTTCTTTCCGTTGATTGATTGATTGATTGAGTGGTTGGGGAGGGGTCGCCCCACCCCCCCGCCACCCACCACGCGCGCGCACACACACACAC